TTTCAGTCTAAGCGATACTTTTCTATCACACAAAAGGCCTGAAGCATTCCTCCACTTCAACCAACCAACTTGAATTCTACTATTAACATCCCCATCTATATCACCATCACTTTGAACAACGGTCCGAGATATTTAAATCGTTCACACCTTTTAATAATTTGATCACCCAAAGTTATACTTTTTTTTACTAGACCTATGATCATTAACCCAAAAGATTAAAAACATTCCATTAGAACAAAGAATTTTATAAAGATGCTAGAAAATACTAGACCTACGATCATTAACCCAAAAGATTTCATTAGAACAAAGAATTTTATAAAGATGCTAGAAAAGGAATGGTGCATCAAATATAGTGCATGAGTATCCACAAGACTTTTGTAAAACAAAAACATGCATCCTATTAAAACAAAATAAGATGAGTAATGCAGCCAATGAAAGCTTTCTGCCAAAGGAATGTAAGCCACCAAATATAATTTGAGGGGAATTTAAATTCTAGCCATCTCTTCCAATTCAGCCAATTATGACTTGCAGTGTGCTTTAAAATTTTGCACATGGTGATATTATGGTGATTTAGGCTATTAGTGCAGTCTGTCCCAGATGCTAATTGCAGCTAAAATACATTAAAAAAAAAAAATCTGCTTTGTACTAAATTATTTCAATATGCCAACTTAAGCTCAGGGGTACGCCAAAAGTTCTTAAATAGATGTGGGATATTCATTGATTTACAACTAATGCATGGATGAAGAGATAAAGCACTGTTAAGCATTTCCATTAACTAAAAAGAGCATAATCAAAATTAGCTACATGCACCAAGGTTGAGAAATGTAATAAACATAGTTTGGTGCGAGTAAAATTAAAATGTCTTTTACATCATTATTAAAAAACTAAGATCATCATAGGTGATTTACCAAAAAAAAAAAAAAAAAAAGCTGTTAAAACCTTAATTTGAAGATTAAAAGAAGACGCACCTTCCCAAAACTCCATAGGCATTAGCAATACCCTGACAAGTATCAATGGAATCCTCATTGTGAGGCCCAAAGGAGGCCTCGAAGATATTCTTAGCCAGTAAAAGCATCTGTATAGCTGACTGAGCCTTCTCCATCTCCAGATATGCCTGTCCTAAATGTTTATAAGCAAATCCCAAGCCAAAATGCTTTGGCCCAAAGCTATTCTTCAGTTTCGTTATCGCCCTCTCCAAAGATGGTACAGAATCCTGAACTTTGCCTGTCAGGAGAAGCAACCAACCCATCCTCGCCAAAATGCTCCCCATCATGTATTGCTCTCGCGGAATATTTTCAAGCAATGTTAAGGTCCTCTTCATAAGAGATATAGAAATCTCAAATTCATTCATCATCTCATACAACATAGAAATCTCCATGAATGCCTCAGCAACTTTTTCAGATCGTCTTGAATCCGCCTTAGTTAGGATATTACAAGACATATCCAAACACCCTTTTGAGTCTCCAAACCTCTCTTGAAAGAACAAAGCTTTTGCCATTGATACAAAGGCAAAAGCTCTGGTTTCACTCTCCTTCCTCGCCTTTTGAATCACCCCCTTGAGAGTACTCATTGCCTCACCTAATCTACCAAGGTTAATCTTTATGTTCGCCGCTTCAATCTCCATTTCTGGAAGCTCAGCATCCAGATTCAAACTCAACAATATCTGCTGGCACAGCTCGTTCTGCACCAAAGCTTCTTCATTTTCTTCAAGCCCAACATGAATGACCCCGAGAAGCTGCCTAACCTTAAATACTTCCTCACAATTATTGCCTATTTTTGCCTCAAAGATCTCCAAAGCCTTAGAGCACAATGGCCGTGCCTCACCAAACTGCAAAACACCAGCATACGCCTCAGCCACATCTTTACAGGCTGAAGCTAACTCCAGACTATTAGGCTCTAGAATCAACATGCGCATCTGTAAGGACCTTTGGAGATTAATCAAAGCCTCCCACCTCCGACCCATTGCATTCTTTGTGTTTGCAAGCTCAAGCTGAACGAAAATTTTCTCAGAATCAAACTCTTTGTCACTAAATCCATCTTCTTCCAAGCTGTCCAGAATTTGAGAAGCAGTTTCCAAGGACTCCAAGCTCTCATCAAATCTCTTCATCTTGCAGCTTATTGAGCCAACAAGGCGCAATGCTTTCACCAATGGCAGAGATTCTCCCCCATTGTTTCTCCCCAATATCTCCAAGGACCTAATGGCGAAGCTCAGGGCCTTCTCTAGCTCATTAGAGGCTTTCGAGAGCAAAATCCCTCCCATTTTCAGACAAAGCAAGCCTAGCTGAGCATCATTTTCACTAAGAGAGGCTTCCAATGCTTTGAAGGCAGCCATAAGCTCCTCGGTGTTGTTGGAAAAGTTGAGGGCTTCTTCAAGTTCAAGTTTTTCGCTCTGAGCTGATAGTGCTTGAGAGTAGTTGGCAAAAGACGTTTGGATAACTCGGGGAAGAAGGCATGGTTGGGAATTAACATGTTGTGGATTCGGGGTGGCAAAATAATGGAATTTTGCATGTGGAGAATATTTGCGGTGAGAACTTCGGGCGGGTTTATTTGAATGGAAAAACAAAGGGACATATCTTGAGAAGAATTTGGAGAAGTTGAGATTGGATGGGTGAGAGGATGAAAAGGCACTTTTAAGGGAAGTTTGGAGGAGGAACATTAGATCACTACGGAGATATTTGTGATGAAACTATTACGATTTAAAGCTATCAAGGATAGAAAATGTTGTAAAATATGTAGATGGACAAATCCAAGGTGTTGGTAAAAACTATAGAAAAGATTACGACGTTTAGTATTGGGTGAATATTTTTCGTAATTATTACGAGTCATCATGAACAAAAATGAAATGTTTCTGCAAATTCATACAAAGAGTATTAGGGATGCCAAGAAAATTAAACTTCAATACAAGCAAAATGTTATCTAAAGGCATTCAAGTAAAATCCACAAAATATTCACAGCTAATAAACTTTAAACATTGTCAAAAAAAGAAATATCACTAAGAACACATTCAATATTACATAATAGAGAAGTGTTGAAAGGCTACTAAACGCTAAATGACTATCATGAAAATTAATGGAAGAACATCATGGAATCTTAAAAGAAAATAGCTTTTTTACTAAATAACAATAAGAACAACTATATTGCATGACTCCAAACATCTGACCACAAAAGAGCAAGGGCCCGTTTGGGGCAGCTTATAACTGCGGGCGGTGGTCGACATTTTCAAAACGCTTCCATAGCATTTGTTTCACGTGTTTTAACTGATTATTCAAAAACCGTGTTTTCTAATTGTGAAAGACGCAGCCCGCGGGATGACCCCCACGGGCCGCGTTTTGTTCGCTTCTATTACTTGCCTGCCCTCAATCGCGTGCCCCGTGCCCTCCTTCGAATCTTTTTTCCTCTTCGCACACATCCTCCGCGGCGCTCCTCCATCTTCTTCGACAACTTACAGGTTCTCCTTCGGCATTTCTTCAATTTTTTCCTCTTCGGTCGTTCCAAACGAGCGCACTGTTCTTCATCTTCGGCATTGCATTCCTTCTTCTTCGACATTCTCGTTCCAGTTGAGCAACAACTTTCTTGTTGTAGAACTACAAATCGTAGATCGCACTTTTGTTTTTTATGTAGAATTGCAAATCGCATTTTTTCTTCGCATATATCTATATATATATTTGTTTTGAAGTCATGAAAAAACTGCAACGATCTAATGGATATATCCTTTCGTGATGTTTATTGAATTTAAGTACATGATGAGCTCTTATAGTGAGTCATCTCCTCCTGCGTGCTTTCATGTGATTGCATTTGTAACTATATTGGGGAAGAAATGGCACTGTTGAGATTTTATGATTTGTATTTTTATGAAGAAAAGGAATGCCTTGTTGGTAAATTTTAAAAGGGAAATTTACGTAGATACCACAAATCTAGCATCAATTTTGAAGTATGGTTTTGCTCTGATTTTGACCTCATTTTGACAGAATTGCAACTTTGAAGTTTGGTTTTGCTCTGATTTTGACAGGAATTGAGTGGTATGTATACAAGAATTGAGGCATTAGATATAAAAAATCACAAGAATTGAGTGGTATTGCTTGTAAATTTTAAACCGTTTGAAGCATTTTATTATTGAGCTTTTCTCCTCTATTACTCTATATATGGTTTATTGCTTGTAAATTTTAACGTATTCATGGGTTGTTCGGTTCAGTGCTATTAAATATTGTGTGGCTCATTCAGTGGTATGTTTTAAGGCGAGATCGGATGTGTCTTTTTTTTTTATATATATTGTCATTTTTTGTTATACAGTTTTTGCGTTTATTTGAAGTTAATCAAGTCATGAAAAAACTGCAACGATCTAATGGATATATCCTTTCGTAATGTTTATTGAATTTAAGTACATGATGAACTCTTATAGTGAGTCATCTCCTCCTGCGTGCTTTCATGTTTTTCAGTTTGTAATGTAGGTTTTGCAATTCTTTTTGTGCTTTTCAATGCATGAATTGCATGAGAAAAAAGAAATAATTTTGGACTGGAATTTATGAATTTTAACTCTTATTGAAATAAAAAACGAACAATGTTTTTTTCAATTAAAACAACAAGCTTGGGTTTTAATCTATGAGAGTGTTACTTGATCCTTGTGAGCACTCATTTGTTGTAAAACATGTGATGTAAAGATCCACTATGATTTATGACTTGACATTTATGAAGGATGTACCTTTGTGCATGCTTTTCACTAGTGATATATTTGTAATGGACAAAACTGAATATATGGTATCTCATTTTAGTAGTGATCGATCTAGTGGCAGGGTTGTAACAATGGTTGATCAAGGCATTATGTTTCTAGGGAAGAGAAGCATAAAATCAAGTGTTGTTGAAATGATAATTTTTGTAGCATGAATGACCTCTTAAAATGTATAATTTTTGTAATTTTGATAAAGTTGAAGTTTGTTTTTGTTTCGTTTTTGTAGAGTTGTTGAATGATCTGTGTATATTGATGCCAAAGGATGAATATGGCATGAACTGCATGCTCTGTTTAAATACTTGAGTAAGCTTATTAGTTCATGTAAG